AATTGGAATAGTAACAAAATAAATGGAAATGTAAAAAATGTTTCCATTCATATATTTACTTAGTATATGAGATTGCAGTTGGGAATGTACTGAGATTTCTGAAAAGATTTCTGAAAAGATGGTTTCTCTTGCTATTGCCTTTGAATTCCTAAATACAAAAAGAGCTAGGAATCACATCTGACAAGCTTACTTCATTCTACTGTGATGAAGATTATAGTGAATTAAAGGTAAATCGATTATAAAGCCACAAACTTTTGGAGGCATAAAAGTAAGCAAAAGATAGTAACAAAAAGTAATCAGTGGACATGTCAACAGGGAACTATTTCCACCTAAACTGAAAATATAAATAGAACCTAAAGACAATACATGTCACAACTAAAACTCATTTCAGATCTTTAGAAGGTGGCTATAATACCTAAAATCCTCCATACGAATAACAAAAATAAACTCCACAATGTGCATATTAACTTGTAGTGATAAGCCATAAATAGGATGTTTCAAAAATAGTAATAATTGTTCTTTATTTAGAAAGAAAAAGTGTTATATTTCAGATATGAACTGGGTTTACTCATTTGGCAGAGAAATATGAATAACTTTATAGTCAATAATAAGTTGCAAATTAATTTGTGAGTGTTTTTAAGCAAGAACATTCATTACATTCTTCCCAAATTCTTGAGAAAATATGTAAATTTCTGAATGTTGCACTTATGAATAACACCCTAGTAATCTATAAAGAACAAAATTTTAAATAAGTACTAAAGTGGTGCACTTATCATGTAATTTTCAAAGAGTATTCTTCATTTTACATTTTAATATCATATTAACCAATTATTTAGAAAGAGTGGATTTTGACAGTTTTTTCAAATAATGAGTACATTATAGCTCCAAAGTTAGTACTGCCCATTCCAACTCATGTGAGGATGTTAAGAGTTATATGTGGATACGATTTTATTTTATAACAAATATAATGCCAGTATTATCTATTATTATATTTCATATCATTTACAATTTTAAAATATCTTCATGAAGTTCATATTAGTCAGATTAAAGAGAATGAACAATTCTCATTTCATAGATGAAAAAATGAAGTCTGAATTTCTCATCTAGTGCCCTTTCTGGGATACAGCTCCCTGTGGATACTCTGTTATTTGTTCTTCCCAAGATTGTGGGTGCCTCATTGGTCTTCTTTTGTCTATGTGTTAATCTTCTAGAGGGAAAAAAGATTGCTTTCTGCCCACATACTGTACTTCTCTATATCTCTTGTACTTTCTTACCCAACCCCTCAGAAAATTCTCAACTTCTCATTAATTCCACGTTCTTTATTTCTTAAGCCCACAGCAATAACAATAAAAATCACTTGACTGATCACTCTTTCTTTTCAACAATGATCATTTACATCACACCTTTTAACATTCAATTATTGATATATTTCATTAAAAATAAAAATTATTGTTCAGTTTTCTAGTTGTTTTATATAAATCCTCAAGTCATCCTGTTGGTTTGATTTGTTGATTCAACAATCTAGGCCAGGCACAGTGGCTCATGCCTGTAATCCCAGCACTTTCGGAGGCCGAGACAGGTGGATCATGAGGTCAGGAGTTCGAGACCAGCCTGGCCAATATGGTGAGACCCCGTCTCTACTAAAAAATACAAAAGTTAGCCAGGCATGGTGGTGCCTGACTGTAGTCCCACCTACTCGGGAGGCTGAGGCAGGAGAATCACGTGAACCTGGGAGGCGGAAGTTGCAGTGAGCCAAGATCGCACGACTGCACTCCAGCCTGGGTGACAGAGCCAGACTCTGCCAAAATAAATAAATAAATAAAAATCTAGCACCCTATAAATCTTTCAAATAGAGATTAGAGGCTACTGAGGGGGTAACCATCAAGACTTACGTTTCAAACATAATCTTTAAAAATCACCCCTATGTTTATGAATGAAGAATTCAAAATTCTAATTTTATACTCCACAAAGTCACTGAACCTCTATTTTGATTACTTTGTGTCATGTCTCAATTAAAAAAGTTTGGATGGAGGCATCTAAAATGATACAGAATGTATTAAACTTAAGTTAGACATAAATATTAAATACTTCTCTCTATTATCAATCAAGGGGTCATGTTTCCAAAATATTGCTTGCTAGTCTGTCAGATATTTGTCCAAAGTGAAATACATGTGATTGTGCATCATTAATCTATTGAGACAAAGAATAAGCTTATTTGCTACCATCTGTGCTGGTAACTGCTCAACACAAGTAGATACTGATTAATTTCATTTTGTCTGGCACCTCTGAGTTTGTACCTAAAACATTTATATTTTCACAATACCTTTCAAGTGATTACAGTCATGTGTTCTTAGTGATGTAAAATATTAGGATAAATATAATTTTAAAATTTAAAGAAAGAACATAGATTTTCTTTTTAGGCAGGAGAGTACAAAATCATGACATTAACAAGATAAATATTGGGGGGTGAAAACTAATTGCAATTAGGAACATTCAAAATATGTGACAGTAAAATGCATCCTGTAGACATTATCATCTGTTTTACATTTAAGTTTTTGCTCATTTCTTCCAAATATAGTATAATTAATGCAGGAGAAGGCAATGTAGTGAGTAACATAAATTTTCAAGTGGACAAAAAATGGTTTAAAAACTCAGAATAAAATGGGAAAAGTTGTCTACTAATAGCTGCGTTTTCTCCCAGGAGAATGTTGGAAAGCCACAGAGATTCCTGAGAGGACTAGGAATCAGTGACATCAACAAATATCAGTGGACCAGACACATCTTTTTGATATAGTGGCAGAATCCCACCTATTGATTGGATGTACCTACATCAGCAAAGAGATTTTCTAAGTTCAACAATGATGTCATGCTTTAGGACTTATCAAGGACCAGGAAGTAACTAATTTAATTTTTTATTGTTAAATTTATAACAAATATTGGTATTTTTTTCAAATACAACTTAAAATAAAATCACTAAATCAGATTTATTCTGATGGCAATAATTCATATTTTAAGTTGCTAACCAAAACAAAGTAAAATAAGAATGGAAGCACTTCAAACTCTGGTATCAGAAAAGAAGTACTATATCTTTTTATTTTCCTTTTTTAACTTGTGCCCACACATAGAAGGCATTGTTTCTTCCATTAAATATTTATCTAGCTATAGAAAATTGATACATATTTTTCAGAAGATAATATGCATGTTTTGTTTTATTTTTCTATTCAATGTATATGTCAATAAGGGAAATTGTATATTTTCTCTATGGTTACATTTTGAGTGAGGGAGATAAAGAGAATTATCAGAAAGACAAAAAGTAGTTAAAAAAAGAAAAAGAGGAAAGAGCCAAGATGGCTGACCTGACACAGCCAGGCTAAACATCTCTCACAGAGAGATTCAGGCATTGGGAATACTAGCACACTTCAAGCCGACCTCCAAAGGGAAGGCATTAAGCGTGGATGGAAGGAGGACGAAGATACTGGACTGAAGCGAGAGGAATCTGGAAATCCTGCATGGGGCTGTTGAGCCCTGGGACCCACTCCTGGCCCCCAGTGAATATTGGGTAAGGGGTGAGTTTAACAGGTGAGGAGTGGCCCATCCTTGCCACAGACCCCCATAATCCTAGTTGCAGGAGACCTCAGGACCCCCCAGGAACAACTTGATCCGGCAGCAAGAGCTGCTTTGAGAGATGCCAGTGCCAGGACTCCAACCTGGGCACAGCTTAGAAGGTTTGTCGGGGGAATGGCTGCAGTGGAGCATGGCCCGGGATGTCTATCCCCCAAGGCTCATCAAGCTCCTATAATTTAGACTTTTGCATTTGGGTGACAGTCGGATTGGGAGCAGGGCGGTCCTGCCCATGTTTCAGAGCCATTTCTATCTGAGCAGCCTCTCCTGCTGCCGGCTTCTCCTGGAGCCCCAGCGTGATCGCTCCCGCTTGCAATGCAGCATCAAATGCCCAACCAGGGTACTTCCCAGATGCCTTCATGACAAAGTCCTCACTGGCAGTCCATGTCTAACCATAAGAGAAGTCCAGCAGACTGGACTCTGTCTACAAAACCAGCCCACCCACAACCTCTTCTCACTTGCAGCCTCCCCTCACTGCTTTGCCAGTGTGTGCGCAAGGGCCGAACGACCTCGCCAACCCTCTTCCTATCAGGCATGTGAGTGTGCACCCCACTGCCCCACCGCTGCTGTCATGAGCACACTCTGCTGCCTTGCCCACCCCTGCCAGCCCTCGCTGAGGTGTGGGCAGCCCACCGCACAGCGGTGGGTGCGACTGCGTGCACAGATTCCAGAACCTCGCGTCCACCAGCAGCCCACCCCTGCTGTGCAGGTTCTACTCTGGTGCAAGTGAGCGCAGTGTACACCGGCGCGCCCACCCCCGCTGTGCAGGTTCTACTCTGGTGCAAGTGAGCGCAGTGTACACCGGCGCGCCCACCCCCGCTGTGCAGGTTCTACTCTGGTGCAAGTGAGCGCAGTGTACACTGGCGCGCCCACCCCCGCTGTGCAGGTTCTACTCTGGTGCAAGTGAGCGCAGTGTACACCGGCGCGCCCACCCCTGTCAGCACCTCACCCCCACTAGTGCACCACCCCACTGACGCAAAAGCACTCCACTGCAAGGCCACAGTGACTGGCAAGCACAAGTGAGCGCTGATACCACTGCCAACGCCGCTATGGAGCGCTTCAGCTAGCATTCCCCTTAAAGTTTTGGGGCTAGCTTATTAGGAACACTTCAGCACCTCTAGCGGTCAGGGTCATAACCTCAAGGGGCCAGAAGATACAGCTGGGGGCTTCCTGGCCCCCTGGAATCTTCCATAATCAAAGCCAGTCGACTAAAGGCACCCTATACCACAATCAAACACTAAAGGGCTTCAAAGAAGATAAAAGCAAAAGGCTTCATTCAAAGGACAGCGGCTTCAAAGATTAAAGGAACATCAGCCCAGAAAGATGAGAAACAAACAGCATAAAAAGTCTGGTAACACAAAAAGCCAGTGTCTTCTTACCTCCAAATGCCCATACTAGATCCCCAGCAATGGTTCTGCACCAGGCTGAAATGACAGACATAAAATACAGAATATACATAGGAATGAAGGTCATCAAGATCCTGGAGAAAGTCAAAACCCAAGCCAAAGAATCCAGGAAATACAATAAAAAGATACAGGAGCTGAATGAAGAAATGGCTGTTTTAAGATAGATACAAATGAATCTGATAGAGTTGAAAAACAATACAAATACTTCCATAATACAATCACAAAGTATAAACAGCAGAACAGACCAAGCTGAGGAAACAATCTCAGAGTTCAAAGACTAGTTCTCCAAACTAACTCAATCAGACATATAAACAAATAAAAAAGAACGAACAAAACCTCAGAGAAATATGAGATTATGTGAAGAGACCAAATCTGTAACATATTGACATGGCAGAAAGAGAGAGAGAGAGAGAGAGAGAGAGAGAGAGAAACAGAGAGCAAGCAACCTGGAAAACATATTTAAGGATACAGTCCACAAAAATTTCTCTCATGTCACTAGATGGGCCAATATTCATATTCAAAAAATACAGAGAACTCCTGCAACATACCATGCAAGACAACCATCCCCAAGACACATACTTATCGGATTTTCCAGGTTCGTAATGAAATAAAAAATAAAGACAGCTAGAGAGAAGGGGCAGGTCACCTACAAAGGAAACCCCATCAGGCTAACAATGAAACTTTCAGCAGAAACCCTTCAAACCAGAAAAGATGGGGGGCCATCAGCATTCTTAAAGAAAAGAAATTCCAACCAAAAATTTCAGATCCAGCCACACTAAGCCTCATAAGTGAGGGAAAAATAAAATTCTTTTCAGACAAGCAAGTACTAAGAGAATTCAGTAGCACCAGACCTGCCTTACATGAGGTCCTTAAGAAAGTCCTAAATAGGGAAATAAAACACCGTTACTGGCTACCACAAAAACACAACTAAGTACATAGTCCACTCACTCCATAAAGCACTTACACAATCCAGTCTGCATAATACTAAGCTAACAACATGATGACAGAATCAAATACCCACTTACCAACATTAATCTTGAATGCAAACTGGGTAAATGCCCCAATTAAAAGGCATAAAGTAGCAAGTTGGACAAAAAATAAACACCCAACTATACAGTACTGTCTTAAAGAGACCTATCTCACAGGCAAGGAGACCTAGAGGCTCAAAGTAAAGAAATGAAGAAAAATCTACCACGTAAATGTAAAATTAAAAAATACCAGAAGTTGCTGTTCTAATTTAAGACAAAACAAACATTAAACCAAGAATGATCAAAAAGACAAGTAAGCACATTACATAATTACATATAGTTCAATTCAACAAGAAGACCTAACTATCTTAAATATATATGCACCCAACACAGGAGTAGACAGATTCATAAAACAAGTTTTTAGAGACCTACAAAAGACTTAGATAACCACACAATAACAGTCAGATACTTCAACACCCTACTGCCAATATCAGACAGATCATCAAGGGAGAAAACTAACAAAAATATCCAGGAACTGAACTCAACGCTTGACCAAATGCACCTAACAGATATCTATAGAACTCTTCTAAAACTCTTCCAAAACAACAGAATATACATTCTTCTCATCCACACATGAAATATACTGTAAAATCAAACACATAATCAGCCATGAAACAATCCTCAGCAAATTCCAAAAAACTGAAATCATACCAACCACACTCTCAGACCACAGTGCAATAAAAATAGCTATGAAGATTGCTCAAAACCATACAATTACATGAAAATTAAACAACCTGTTCCTAAATGACATTTGAGTAAACAATGAAATTAAGGCAGCAATCAAGAATTTTTTTGAAAACAGTGAGAACAAATAGACAACATACCAGAATCTCTGGTTCACAGCTAAGACAGCACTAAGAGGAAAGTTTACAGCACTAATCACTACATCAAAAAGTTAGAAAGATCTCAAATTAACTACCTAACCTAACAGCTCGAGGAACTGGAAAAACAACAGCAAACCAACCCAAAAACTAGCAGAAGAAAAGAAATTTTAAAAAATCAGATCTGAACTGAATGAAATTGAGAAAAAAAGACAAAAGATCACATAATGAAAAATTTGTTTTTGCGGAATAAATAAGATTACTAGACTACTAGCTATATTAATAAAGAAAAAAATAGAGAAGATCCAAATAAACACAATCAGAAATGAGATGGGGGACATTATCACTGACACCACAGAAATACACACACACACACACACACACACACACAAACCCTCAGAGACTATTATGAATACTTTTATAGATGCAAACTAAAAAAGATAAAATATATAATATTCCATTGAAAAATATATTCTCAAGATTGAACCAGGAAGAAATTGAAACCCTGAACAGATCAGTAATAAATATCAAAAATAAATGAATAGTATAAAGCCTAACACACAGAAAAAGTCCTGGACCAGACTGATTCACAGCTGAATTCTACCAGATGTATGATCCAGAGCTGGTACCATTCCTACAAAAATTGTTCCAAAAAACTGAGGAGAAGGAATTCTAACCTAATTCATTCCAAGAGGCTATCATCATCTTGATACCAAATGCCGGAAGAGACACAACAAAAAGAGAAGACTTCAGGCCAATAACCTTGATGAACATAGACACAAAAGTCCTCAATAAAATACTAGTAAACCAAATAGCAGCATATCAGAAAGCTAATCCACCCTGATCAAGTGGGCTTTACAGTGTATTTGTTTGCTTAGCATTGTGTAAAGATTCATTCTCTTAGCAATCAATAACATATATTTGAAACATAACTGTGCTAAAATTAGGTTTCTCACCAATAGAAAAGTTTATTACCCTACCACTTCAAAGATCGGAGGTAACAGAGTAATGGCAGATCAATTTTTGTGACACTGGTGACATAAGAGATGAGTACTGATCTATGGTACAACTGAGATACTAGCTGTCAATCAAAATGCTGAGAGATCAACCTACCATATGTAGTAAGAAAGACTGACTCATATTCATTTTAAGTTCCATGTTCTGTCAGAAGTGAACCTCTCCTTCAATGTACTAAATTTAGCACTGGCTAGACACGGTGACTCACACCTGCAATCCCAGCACTTTGGGAGGCCAAGGCAGGCAGATCACGAGGTCAAGAGAATGAGACCATCCTGGCCAACGTGGTGAAACTCTGTCTCTACTAAAAATACAAAAATTAGCTGGGCGTGGTACTGTGTGCCTGCAGCCCAGCTACTTGGGAGGCTGAGGCAGGAGGATCCCTTGAACCCAGGAGGTGGAAGTTGCAGTGAGCTGAGATCACGCCACTACACTCCAGCCTGAAGGCAGAGCAAGCCTCTGTCTCAAAAAAAGAAAAAAATATATAAAGGGAATTAAACACTTTATTTGGATATTCTATAGCAAAGTAATAACAATTAGTAATAATTCTATGGAGAAAAATTAAATGTATTAGAATTAGTCTATAATTCATTAAAGAGCTAATGAAAGTTATTAGTATTAGTCCTTTAATTAGAAAAACTAAAGGTATGTATTAGTCTCTTTTTTCATTGCTATAAAAATTATCTGAGACTGGGTAATTTATAAAGAAAAGTTTAACTGGTTCAGGGTTCTACAGGTTGTACAGGAAGTATAGTGACTTCTACTTCTGGGGAGGCCTCAGGAAACTTACAATAATGGTGGAAGATGAAGAGGAAGCAGGCACATCTTACATGGTCACAGAAGGAGGAAGAGGAGGGGGAAGGTACTACACACTTTTAAACAACCAGATCTCACAATTCTCCCACTCACTATCATGAGAAAAGCATCGAGAGATATTGCTAAACCATTCATGAGAAACCTCCCTTATGATCCAATCACCTCCCACCAGGCCCAATCTCCAACATTGGGGATTACAATGGAACATGAGATTTGGGTAAGGACACAGATACAAACCACATCAGTATGCAACAAGACTTTGTATTCAACAATAATTAAAAGAAAATTAAGAGGAGTGATGTCAGGAAGACATTAGGATAGAAGATCCCTCAGCATTACTCCCCTTAACAAAAGTACAACTAGAAACTATTCAAAGCCAAGAATGCCACCTTGAGTTCACAAGAACTTGGAAAAGAAGCACAAAAATACTCTGAGCCACAGAAATGACAGAAGCCACAGCTGGTAAACACCCACCTCTCCCAAGCAGGCATAACACTACTCTCAGAGATTTTTCTTAGACTCACGGTTTCTTGGGAAAAAATAAAGGTGGATGTTTAATCTCCTCACCAGTCTGGGAATCTTCATGGGGGCCCACACTGATTTCATTCCACAGGAAGCAATGGGAGGGCCAACAGGGCTCAATGATGTGGGGTAAACTGGAAATAAGACTGGGGACACTGACTGCAGTGACAAGCATGAAAATCTTGGTATCTGCTCTGTTTTCCCATCAGTTGGGAAGCCATACTGAGAATGCTGCCTGGTGTCTTGGTGCTAAAGGGAGCCTAGTATATATGAAGGCCCAAAATCCTGGCTGGGTTCCTCTCAAAGCCTAAGTGTGTCAAGCAATCCCCTAACCTGCAAAACCTGAAAGGTTACCAGTTAAATTCTGATGTGTGCTTAAGTTTTCTTCAGACTGCAATAAGTCATCCTCAGCATGGGAAATAGTGGAAAGGCAGTGAGTAAGTTCTGGTGCCATATTTTAGTTCTGATGCTCACTATAAGGCCTCCCTAGAACTCAAAGCAACAAACGGTCCCATGATTAAATTCTGGTAACAATTGGTGAAAGTCTAAAGCCACCAAAGAACAACTGCAATAGATGGAAGAGGTGGCTATTTCAGCAAATGCACAGGAATGAATATAAAGACACAAGGGAAAATCAGGGAAACATGACTTCACCAAAAGAAATCAACAAAGCTGCAGTAATGGAGCCAGAAGAATTAAAGATATATAACATATCTAACAAAGAATTCAGAATAATGCTCAAAAAATGCAGAGAATCACAGGAAAATATGTATGGAAAATTAAGAAAAACTGCCTAGGAATAAAAAGAGAAATT